ATCATGTGTCCACAAATACATACTTTACCGGTGTAAAAATTTGCTACCTTTTGGGTCCCAAATTCCTGAATGGTATTTCCTTTATCAAAAGAATGAACTCATCTAAAAATTAAAGATCTTTTTTATTTGAGAAAAACATTGATCTGATTTTTATTTAGAACTTTGCAAAATTCTCATTAAGCTGTAGTTGCTCATAAATTAGAATCAGAAAACAAGACCTCTAGACTAGACTCATTATGTTAATACTTATGTAACTGAAATAGGAATTTTAGGGGGATATAGGCAGGTTAAGGGAATTTTTATTATTGGGGCCCCATGAAAAACACACAGGGCTACAGAGCTGGGAGAGGTTAGATTGCCATAAGACAAGGGAGCAGCAACAGTTACATTTCCATAAGACAAGAGAATTGGGAGTAGCCAAAAGGTCTATATTTACAAAATAAAGAAGGAGGAAGAAAGCCCAGAACGAACAGAACAATGAGGGAGGAGGGCCTCACATGTCCCATGTGATGTTTGACCTTTGAGCTCAGGAGTTACTATAGTAACCAATTCAACAGGGAATATTGACTAATCAGAAGGGATATCAGGACACAGGGGCGTGCAGCCTTTATAAACCATGGAAACAGGAAGTTGGCCAGACTCTTTCTCCCTCCCCACGTGGGAGTCTCTACTTGTTCTTCAATAAATCTCCACCTTTGCTATACCATCTTCAGTCCGTGGATTCATTCTTCCACTCCGAAGAAAAAAGAATCCGGGGAACACTGTGTGTTCCAGTCCAAAAATCACATATCATAACAATGTGAAAAAATCACCCTTTCAAAAGGCCCTGATTTGTGTGTGTATGTGATGTGAGAATCAGTACAATATAAAGGGTACAATAGACATCTATGGAGCCAGTCTGCTTGGTTGTATTCTGGTTCTCCCACTCTAGCTGTGGGATGTAAAGAAACTAGTTACTTTCTATATCTTGATTTCCTCATTAAATTTAAAGGGGAATAATAATAGACTTCCTCACAGTTAAATTTGTGAAGACTAAATGAATGCATCAACATAGCACACTTTGAACAGGCACATACTAAACACAAACTAAACAGGAACATAACAGACACTTTATAAATTTGCTAATATAATATGAAAAATGGGTATATCTTTGTGTGCTATGTACTTCTTTGATCCTTGTAAAACATAAAGATAGTACAGTAAAAATATCAAGTTTAAAATTAAAAAGAATTATATAAAATATATTCCATTGATTCAACCTAATAACTATCTTGAAGTAATACTTCTTAAGAAAAAATAATTTGGGGTTACAAAAGGAAGTCTTAACTATATTTTATCTCCTTCTTCTATGTTCATCATGTTTATGGCTAAGAAAAAACTTGTATCTTGTTGAATTGTTGTCTGGACATTAGAAGGTTAAGAAATTACCTAGCCTATATGATTCATGTGAAGTGTATGGTAATGGCTAACATTTTATCTGAGGAACATGGGTGAAGAAAAGGAGACTACTGTTGGGGACTGAAATTTGTAGATAAACACAAACTTTACAGATC